AGAAAATACATTCTCTCCAACAAGAAAAAATAAGTAAATATCTTCCTACATGTAAACAGAAGAGCTCCTTAATTTCCAGAAGTAGCAAAAACTTAACTGATAGCAACTGAAAAAAAAAAAAAGTTGTTTAAAAAAAAAGTTTAATTTACAGCAAGCTCGTTTAGGACACCAGAGCTCTGGCACTGACTCACACTGTGACTTTGAGGGGAGAAAGTGTCGTCAAGGCCAACCCACCAAGATTTGGGTGCCTGAAGGATCTCAGTTGGGTAAAGTAGTTAAGTATCAACTTAATCTAAAGAAAGCTTTCACCAGAGTCCAGAGGAGGGCTAGGTTTCATTTCCAAAGGCTTTAGATAATTTTTTTTTTTTTTTTTTTGCTTCAGTAGGGTTTTGTTAGTGTCCCAGTTTCCAGATGTTTAGAGAGCTAAGTGTCAGAATAAAAAAAAAATCCCATGTGGTAAACTCTAATCTCATGGGGAAAATTGTGTTCAATTTTTGTTTTCAGTTCAGACCAGGAAAACTGGAAAATAATTATCCGGAACTCAGAAAAATCCTGGAAATGTGAGAGTTTCATTTGTATAATTCAGACCTAGTGGAAACATTTTAAGAGGTATATTTTCTCCCGAGATCATCTCATTTTGCCTATGACAATTGCAAACGAACGCATTCGTGGGTCAGAATAAACCATGGAAAGTTTTTTTTTCACCACTGCAATCATGTGCTACGTTAGCCATGTTTGGATGGTCCAATACTCACCTTTCAAGTACTGCGGTAACCCAAACCACTGACACATTCAGAGTAGACAAGCCTGGTTTTAGGCTCAGGGTCACCGAGCCCCACCTTCCACTATGTTGCAAGTTTGTGAAATTGCTTTTTACTTCTAAAATTGAAAATTTAACTGACCCACTTTGAATGGATGTTTCAGTAAATGGCACTAGAGAAAACCCCTTCTGAGGGAACCATTTCCTTTAAACTGTACAACTCTAACTCTAAGAGGGAAACTGAATTATACATTTAACTTTTCAAGAATCAGCATCTTTTAAACAAGCTGATGTAGGTCACGGTTATCCCAGAAACCACAAACCAATTGCTACCCTTTTTTACATCCTCCTGTGGATGGCATAAGGTGAGTAACATTTGCAGTTACTCGTAAGTATTAAGCAAATGTAAAAAACACACCTTATTTGCATGATCTTCCCCTGAAAACATCACCAAAATTAGACCTGAGAAGAGGTATGCATCAGCAGATCAAAGCTCTTACACTGAGTGTTTATGATGCATATCCTAGATACCCATAACCAACTGTCAGAAAAAAAGTGAGGAGAGCGATTTCCTAAGAAAGAAATATTAGAGAAGAACAGACTCGATGTTCATCCTCTCTTTTCTAAAATGTTAGCCCCTTTGTCAAGAATCTCTCTGAAATTCAGCCTACGAGCAGCACCCTTGGGTCTGTCCATCATCCACCTGCTCTTCAGGAACCTCACCAGAGAGAATGGCAGTAGCTGGTTTATCACATGTCACAGTTCATTACGATCAACATCGTTACCTGCGAAGCTGCAGCCTGAGAGATTTGAGGCAAACCCCTGGGTTTTGGAGCACTCTGGGTGGAGAGTCTTTCCTTATGTTGTCCTAATTAGCCGTGCCATTAAATTTTACCAGGGGCAAGAAGACACTGGGGTTTTTGCCTAGGAGAGGCATCAGGTTTCTAGTCCTCGGTCCAGTGTCTGCTTTATCCAAAATTTTCACATCCCTGCTTCACCACTGACTGCACAGAGCTCTGAGCTCTCACAGTGAAGGATATTGAATGATGCCACAGAAGCAGCCTGTCCCACAGAATCCTGTCAATCCCAGTGACCAAAATATTTAGGGCTGTAGGTTGGACTTGATGATCTTAAAGGTCTTTTCCAACCTTTATGATTCTATGATTCTATGATTCTACTTGCTAGAAACTTTTGGTTTAAATCCATGAAAGCAGACAAGGGAAGTGAATGCTGACATCCCCCCTTACAGGCAAGGTCTTTTTCAGCTTTTAATGAGCATTTAGGGCTCATCAAGATATCTGCCTAAAAAAACCTAAAATTAAAAAAAAACTCTCACGAACAAAACCAAGTCAGTTGCCATTAGCTAGAGCAACAATAACGTCCCAAAGTCACAAGGGGACGCAGCTTTGAAGCAGTCCAACCTCTCCAGGTCTACAGCCCCGTTACAACTGAAATCCTAGAAAAATAGCATTGAGTGGGTGAAGGGAATCCTGACCATCATGATATCAAATGGAGCTGATCTGTGTGAGTGCGTGGGTTTAAATATTGCATGTTTATATACTAACATGGTAGGGTACATCACTGCTGCAGTATATTGGACTTACAAAGATGGAGAGACTGCAAGGTGGGATTACAGGCTACATAGGATCGCTGATCACTGTCACTCAGGGCACAGGGCTGGGACACAGGGAGTCATGATGCCTCGGGATTACACAATGGAGGGTATTTTAGCTCCCAATATAGAATCACAGAATGGTTTGTGTTGGAAGGGACCTTAAAGACCATCTCACTCCAACCTCCCTACCATGGGCAGTGACATCTCCCACCAGATCAGGCTGCTCAAAGCCCTGTCCAACCTGGCCTTGGACATTTCCAGGCTGCCACAACTTGTCTAGGCAAACTGTGCCAGTGTCTCACCACCCACACAGAATTTATTCCTAATATCTAATCTAAATCTACTCTTCTTCAATCTGAAACTCTTACTCCTTGTCCTATCACTACACCCTCTGATGAAGAGTCCCTCTTTTCCTGCAGGCAAATATATTTTCAAGTGCAGCAAGCTATCGCCTATTATACCTATATAACCTATTTATGGAGGAGGTGCGTGCAGTTTCTTCTAGTTTTCCTGTCTACAAGGAGTCATTTTGCATCTCACAGCCTTTACAAGATCTCTCTTGAATGCCTCTATGCTTTCCCCTAATTTAAGAACTGAAATTTTAACTATGTCCATCACACTTCACGGAATCCTTTCCTTAGGAACAAAGCCCTGTCTCATAGCACAAGAGCCTGAATGAAAACCAATATCCACGTTTGGATTATTTTCCCAGGTGGAGAATGACTGAATTTGGGAACCCACTGTCACAAAGCGTTCTGATCAGAACCGATATATCACACCTCAAGTGTAGCCATGAATAAAAATAGCCTGATCCAGACTAGGAAATTTGAGAAAATAGGTGCTTGAGAAGGAACCTAGCTCTGCAGACATGTGACAGCACACGGCAAGTATTAGAGAGCAATTAGATGGGGGACACCTGGCCAAATTTGCCCCACTTGGGGTGAAAAGACATCAGGCTGACCTAGTGGCAAACAGTTCCAATCTGGCAGTAGCAGTGACATTAGTGTTTGGGATACCTACAGCATTCCCAGGCAAAACCATGAAGAGCATCGACTCATGTTTGACTAGGTAACAACTCCCAGGTGTAGTTTTCACTTGCTTACCACAGCGAGTGCCACTTTTTTGGTGGTTTTCTAGTATCATCGTTGAGGTTTGTTACTACTTGAGTGACTTGGATAAGGCAATGACATCATCTATACATCTAAGAAAGGGTGAGCCCATATCCTGTCTTCCACCTGCGTTAATGGAATATATATACATACACTTCTTAATTTAATTTATGGTCAGAAACCACAGTTAAGGCTGGGAAGAAAACACCTACTCCAAATTAACTGGGACAGCAGAGAAGCCCTTATAAAAAGTCCAGCAGCAAATGTGCCCAAACATCTTCAGCTCAGCAGACCCCAGCACAAGCATCAGCGCAGTAAGAGAAGGCAGGAAGATGTCTCTGACCTTTTGTGCTTCACTGGTAAGAACTTGCGTTGTGTTTCATTTCTCCCCATTTGACAGAGACATACTTAAGCTCTTACAGGTGGCTGTCAGGAATGAGGATCTCCATCAACCTCTGAAATGCTTGTTTAAACCATGAATAATTGAAACAAATGTAAATGAGAGGATGCTGAATATCACCAGAGCGGGGCAACAATGAGGCTGTCCAGATATATTAGTGAATTGATTGCTGCAGCATACTTAAGAAATAATGTTGAAAACCCAACTTTAGAGCATCTTTTTGATGTTGTATCTTTTCTGCTATCTCCTGTATTACATTATTTTCTATAACTTCAATTTACTCTGGGTTGCATTAAAAAAAGTGTGTCCAGCAGGGCTAGGGAGGTTCTCCTGCCCCTCTGCTCTGCCCTGGGGAGACCACACCTGGAATACTGTGTCCAGTTTGGGGCTCCCCAGTTCCAGAGAGACAGGGACCTACTGGAGAGAGTCCAAGGGAGAGCTACGAGGGTGATCAAGGGACTTGAACATCTCTGCTGTGAAGAGAGACTGAGAGAACTGGGGCTGTTCAGCCTTGAAAGGAGACGGCTGAGAGGGGACCTTATTAATGTATAGAAATATCTGAGGGGTGGGGGTCAAGAGGAAGGGGACAATCTCTTCTCAGTGGTGCCCAGTAATAGACCAACAAATAATGGATTTAAGTTAGAACATGGGAAGTTCTATCTCAACATGAAGAGAAACTTCTTTATGGTAAGGGTGACAGAGCCCTGGCCCAGGCTGCCCAGAGAGGTTGTGGAGTCTCCTCCAGAGACTTTCAAACCCACCTGGACACGTTCCTGTGGGGCTGCCCTGGGTGACCCTGCTCCGGCAGGGGGTTGAACTGGATGATCTCTAGAGGTACCTTCCAACCCCGAACATTCTATGATTCTGTGATTTATATTTTTTTGCCACCAAATTACAGCCTAATCAGATCACAACCACACCTGTCAGCACCTTAATAGTTGGTTAACGAAAGCAAGAGTAGAAGGGATACATGGTACATTTTCCCATAATTCCTCCAACCTGCAGTATAGGCTTTAACTCCCAGCAAGGCTGCCTCTGGATGGATTTCCCAGCTGCACACAAGAGACATTACCTGCTTTCTGTCCTAAATGCACTAAATGTTTTCAGGTCCGATCACTGCTTTTTATGCTGCTGGTCGTGCTGTGCGCCAGCAGTTCTGCCTATGGGAAAGTGATACAGTCTGGACTCAAGCCAGAGAGCCTCCTCAAGCAAGCTTCTGTTGGATGCCTGACCCAAAAAGACTCAAAATTCCCTCAGACTGTAAGAGTCAACATCAGCATCAGCAACATGAACCAGGACACCAAAGCGACTCCTGATGTCAGCAGCCGCTCTTTGTCTCCGTGGGATTACAGGTATGATCTCTGTCCCTGCAGTCTAGAAGTACACTGGCTGCAGTGGTCAAGAATGATGCCAAGGTTATGCCTACATCTTTGTTTTCAGAGTAGATTTTGGAAATACAAAGGGATCTGCACTCCATATAATCCTCTTTGAAAGATAATACAGAAAGGAGCACAGAGGCAAAGCGTGGCATAGGCCAACACACATAAGGCAAAGCAAACTACTTTCGTAATTTAGTTAATTTATGTGTATATTGTATATCAGGGCAAAAATACTCTTTACCTAAGACATCATAAAAAATACCTTGGAGAGCTAACACTGCACCGCATTCAACAGTGGTTTGATAGCATCAGCATCAGGCCCCAAGAAAGTTTCATGGTTTGGAGGGGGAGCTGAAGTTCTTTGGGTCCCTTAGTCTGACATGCTGGGAAGTTCAAATAATTTCTAATCAGTTTTTCAAAGTCAGTGCCTATCTGAAGCAAGTTCTTTGCAATGGCAGTTGCATGCAGTCCTGGCATGCTTGTCTTATTGCAGTATTTACCAACCTGCACTTAATTTCTTAAAAATCTGCAGCAGTGGAGGGTCTATTACCCCTTCATAGGTGATCTCCCAGGAGGTACAGGTTCCTGAGATGGGAGTCCATAGCGATCCAGACTATCATGTCTCCAGAGATGCAGCAGCATTTCCATTTCAAACACTTCTTTTCATGTCAACTTACAGAATCGACGAGGACCACAACCGTTTCCCCCGGATGATTGCTGACGCCGAGTGCCGCCACTCCAGGTGCGTGAATTTGAACGGGCAGCTGGACCACAGCCTCAACTCCGTCCCCATCAAACAGGAGATCCTCGTCCTCCGGCGGGAGCAGAAGGGCTGCCACCAGTCATACCGGTTTGAGAAGAAAATAATCACCGTGGGCTGCACGTGTGTCACCCCCTTGATCCGACACCAGGCTTAAAGGGAGACAGTAATGTAAGAGCAGGGTAATACAGAGGAGAGCAATGAAACGGAAGAGCTGCCTTCTATCTCCACAAAATTAAGTCAAGCCATAATGATTAGCTAGAATCTATCAGAATATACTAAAAACAAAACCTCAGTTTAAAAAAAAAATTACTTTTCCCAAAAATCTTGAACTTTGTGGATTCAGAATTCAGTCAGCTTCGTGTGCCAGGCAGAGAAAGTAATAGGAAATCCTTACACATCTTTAGTTTACACTTTGAAACGTTTATTTATGTAATTCTATTTATGCTGATGGAAAAGTTAGTGAAAGTGTATCTGCTTATTTATCTTTGTATAATAAAAACACGGTAAATAACTCTGTGGTATTCTCCTTTCTGTCTGAAAAACTCTTTTTGATAAGAAATCACTCAATTCAGTTATGAGCATATAAGAGATTTGCATGATTCTAAAACCTCAAATTCCCCTGGTACCCTCTTCCTCTGCTGCAGCAGGACATAAACCCTCTAGAAAAGCTAGGCCTTGTATCACAAACACCATTTTACTTACACAGAAACTAAGATATTGGGAGGAAAATTACTTAACAAGTGACATCCAACAGATTCACATTAAGGACAGACTAGCAAAAAAAGCAGTGGGTGACCTAACCAGTTACACACCTAATTATCTGATTGGAAAGGAATTGGTAAAGATAGGGTCAACACAACACTTTGAATGCTTCTTTGGAGGTGGTGAAAGTAACTCTCACCTCTTAAAATGGCAAGTGCATTTCCACTGCTGAGTTTTGGCTTTAATCTGTTTTAACTTTTTATCTGTGAATTTCTGTCCAATCCATTTCAACATGTTTTCTGCAGAGCAGGGTCACTACCCGGGTACACAAGGAAAAGCGTGTGAGTCGGGTGGATAATTGAAGCAATTAACCACGCATTGCTAACTGCAACCATAGTTTTCTCCACACTCATGACTTTCCCATATATTCTCTGCCAGCAGTCGGTGCTTCAAACAGAGCGCGCTGACACAGCGCTTCGACCGCAATCGCGTAGGCGGATGTCTGGCACTGCAGATGGGTTTATTTAAAGCACGTTTGGGTTAAAAGTGCTCAGATGAAAACATTCTGTGTTTCGAAAGGTAATCTGGTTTGCGAAGACAGGGATGTTTTTTTTGATGTTATCTCAGGGAGATGTGATCCTTCTCCGGTGCTGGCTAAAACACCACTGGCAAATGCAACAGCAAACACAGAATTTCTAGAGATGCAGAGATCAGGGATGCAAGTCCCTAATGAGAGGCAAGGACCTCTCAGGTGAAACACCAAGGACTAGTGCAGATTATGGGATGTCTTGCTGGAAAGAAGCCCCATGGAGAAAAACCTTGGAGTCCCAGTGGGCAGTGAGTTGTCCCTGGGACAGCACCGTGCCCTTGTGGCCAAGAGGCCAGTGGGATCCTGGGGAGCATTAAAAAAAGTGAGTCCAGCAGGGCTAGGGAGGTTCTCTTGCCCCTCTGCTCTGCCCTGGGGAGACCACACCTGGAATACTGTGTCCAGTTTGGGGCTCCCCAGTTCCAGAGAGACAGGGACCTACTGGAGAGACTCCAGGGGAGAGCTACGAGGGGGATCAACGGACTTGAACGTCTCTGCTGGGAAGAGAGACTGAGAGAACTGGGGCTGTTCAGCCTTGAAAGGAGACGGCTGAGAGGGGACCTTATTAACGTACAGAAATATCTGAGGGGTGGGGGTCAAGAGGAAGGGGACAATCTCTTCTCAGTGGTGCCCAGCAATAGAACAAGGAATAATGGATTTAAGTTAGAACATGGGAAGTTCCACCTCAATATGAACAGAAACTTCTTTACTGTGTGGGTGCCGGAGCCCTGGCCCAGGCTGCCCAGAGAGGGTGTGGAGTCTCCTTCTTTTGTGACTTTCAAAACCCACTTGGACACGTTCCTGTGTGGCTGGCATGGGTGATCCTGCTCTGGCAGGGGGGTTGGACTAGATGATCTCTAGAGGTCCCTTCCAACCCCAAACATTCTATGTTTCTATGACTCTATGGTTCTATGAAAGCACGTTCTTCAGATCCAGCTGTGCTAACTGGAGAAGGGATCATGCCACCTTTTGGTGCAGGGGATTATTCCCTTCAGCTATGCTCATGAGCATAAATCCTCCCTAATGAGGCAAAATCAAGTGGGTCAGCCTATAACCTAAACTCACAGCACGGCCACAGGCTTCATCCATTCCCTTGACCCAGCAGATATGCACTGCTCCAGGGAAACATTAATGAGCATTGTGTGATGACAGTATCTGCAATTGCAACAATGAATTGTCTGCACCTTTAGACGCCTTCAAACACTGATATAGTGTTGCCCATATGTAGGTATCTAGCAGTATATCTGTTTCTAACTTAGTTTCCTACCTTATCTCCAGCTCTTCTTCCTAAAAGTCTCCTGCAGGTCCTGAAGTTCCAGCTGACTGTCCCAAGAATATTAAGAATGAGAATAGACTGCCAAAAAAAACCAAAAACCATCAAGGAACACTCATCCTTTGAGGCTTTCAAGGAGATATATACATATCAGTCTAGGAAAACTGGAATAGAGCTGACTGCCTTGTCCATTAGATAATGTTTCAATGTCCTACTACTTGCTATAGAAGGAGTTTTGGCAAACTGTCCTCAGCAATTCAAGTAACTTCTAAGAGTTAAAATTACAATAAGTCCCACCCTTTATTACCTGGTAGTCATGTGCCATTAGCTGGAGTTGGCACACCAGTAACAGAGATGAGTTAGCAACGCTGAGAGAGAGCTACTGTGTGGAAAAAGTCAGAACCAGATCAACGAGCAATGACGCTGTTGGAGTATCAAAACGCTAACAGCTTTCTGCTGACGAGCTGCAAAATGCACCAGTCCCCCTTCCAGCAGCATCATTCTCCCTTGGACCATTTACCAACCTAGTTAAATCCATGCATTAGGACACAACATGTTTTATCTACTTGGCCGCGTGTCAACTTCATGCTCACCGTTGCAAGCTGCTTGGCTGTTGCACATGCTCCTGCAAAAACATTTAATAGTACAATCACCTGGATTCATTTGGCCTGAAGACTGTTTTCTACTACAAGTTCTCTTGTAACTCTAGGCATCATGAGCTAAGAGTTCATCCTTTGCATTGTTGTGTTCGGTTGGAAAGGTGGAGAATAATTCCAAAACAATGCACCTTGCCATGAGGTCAACTAATCACAGGATCATAGAATCATAGAACAGTTTCAGTTGGAAGAGAATTTCAAGACCATTGAGTCCAACTTTTGTCCTAACCCTATCAACACCATTAAATCCTGTCCCTCAGCACAACATCTACCCATCTCTTAAACACCTCCAGGGATTGCAACTCAAAAACCTCCCTGGGCAGCCTGTTCCAATGGCTGCCAACCCTTTCGGTAAAGAAATTCTTCCTAAACTCAGTGCCTTTGTTTCTCTGGGCAAAAGTTCATGGCTTCAATCAATAATGATCATGACAGGAGACCAAAGAGAGAAGGACCCTGTAACACTGTGTCCAGCTCTAGAATCCTCAGCACAGAAAAAACATGAGCCTTGTTGAGCAAGTCCAGAGGAGGATCATGAAGATGATCAGGGAGTTGGAACACTTCAGCTACGAGGACAGACTGAGAGAGTTGGGGTTGTTCAGCTTGGAGAAGAGAAGGCTCCAGGGAGACCTTACTGAAGCCATCCAGTACTTAAAGGAGGCTTTTAACAAAGATGGAGACAACTGCTTTAGCAGGATCTGGTGTGATAAGACAAGGGGTAATGGTTTTAAACTGGAAGTGGGTAGTTTCAAACTAGATATAAGGAAGAAATTTTCTGAAGTGAGGGTGGTGAAACACTGTCACAGGTTGCCTAGGGAGGTGGTTAGATGCACCATCCCTGGAGACATTCAGGGTCAGGCTTGATGGAGCTCTGAGCAACCTGATCTAGTTAAAGATGTGCCTGCTCACTGCAGGGGAGTTGGACTAGATCATCTTTAAAGGTGTCTTCCAGCTCAAATCATTCTATGAGCCTATGATCCTTTTTTCACCTTTTCACAGCTCTTATCAGTTTGAAGTTCAATAGGTAAAACTTGCTTTTTCTTGTTCTGGAGCATTTCAGTGCAAATTCCTATTTATTTGATGTCCATTAATGATGTCATTGCAGGGAAGGAATTCCTGCGTAACCCTCGTTGAGACAAATATTTCCAGTCCAGTACTGCCGCCTTTCTCAGTTTCACATCAGTTTGAAAAATCTGAGCAGCCACGCCTTAGAAGCCAGTAAAACTCAGCAAAAAGGGAATTCTGAAACTGGATTTGTGTAGCAAATGATCAGATAACCATGTTCTTCATTGCCAGTTATTAGAGCAAGCTGGACAGATTCCAGATATTGTAAAAGGTGATAGAGATTCAACTGTCTGGCAAGCTCTATGGGATGAAGGAGGCCAGAAGTACAGGTTTCAGAAGTCTGAACTAAAAAGCAAACCTCAAAAACTGTAGGTGCAAGTTAGAGAGAAGATAAACCATTTCTGTTCATTTACTGAAACAGAGATCCCTTATCATGATACAAGCATATTATGTTTCCTCAAGTAAAACAGCAGCACAGCACTTTATACTGATAAAACCACTGGAACCTTCTCATAGAAAGCTGTGCCTAGATAACAGTACTCTGAGTAGAGTCTACTCAGTCTGCGACCTTCAAAAGAGCATCAAACAGGTATTTAAGCTTTTGTCAAAGTTACATTTCTGTGGAAAAACTGAGCTTGCTTTCTGATGGAAAAAAAATAAATAAATAAATGGGGGAAAAAAAAGTTAAACAGAAAGCAGAAACAGGTTTATCTGCAGAGCTGAGGACTGGAAGCTGCTACCACTATCCAGCCCTGGAAGTATGGGGAATAGTTAGCAAAGATGGAAAATGTTTTTGTGAGTAGCATAGACAGAAGGCGTGGTTTGTTTCTGGTGCTGAGCCTGGTTGGCATCTTCTCAGCTCCTGAAATCCACCACCACACAGTCCCACCACTACCAACAGCTTGGAGCCAGCCAAGCAGTAGCAGGTGATCACAGACGTTTTAAGCAGTTTTGTTGTTTGTTTTTTTTTTTGTCCCTGCCTTATTACAGTGCTGTAGAAGATAAGACTTTAGCCACACATCTGGATTCTTCTTAAGCACAAGGTTAAAAATATCAGAGAGCAAAGAAGTAAGATGAAGAAGGATACAAAACAAGGAGATCAAGACAAGTCTCAGGGCCACAAAGATGATCCAGGGGCTGGAGCAGCTCTGCTACGAGGACAGGCTGCGGGAGCTGGGGTTGTTCAGTCTTGAAAAGAGAAGACTTCGGGGGGACCTAATAGCTGCCTTCCAGTACCTGAAGGGAACCTACAGGGAGGCTGAGGAGGGACTTTTTACAAGAGTGTCCAGTGATAGGACAAGGGGAAATGGGTTTAAGTTGAAGGAGAATAGATTGAGATTAGATTTTAGGAAGAAATTCTTCAGTCTGAGGGCGGCAAGACTTTGGAATAAATTGCCCAGGGACATTGTGGCTGTCCCCTCCCTTGAGGTGTTCAAGGCCAAGTTGGATGGAGCCTTGAGTAGCCTGATCTAGTTGAGAGGCATCGCTGCCCATGACAGGGAGGTTGGACGAGATGATCTCTAAGGACCCTTCCAGCCTAGGCCAGTCTATGATTCTATGATTTTAACCCATGATGGTGACATGGGAGCCAGTTTCTGGTCTGATCTGCCAGGCCATCTCCCAGGACAGCCAGAATTCACAGCAGATATGGAAATTCATCCCATCAACTATGCCCATCATGTTGGCACCAAACCACATATCCCCACAGAACTGACCCACATGACGCTCATTCACTTAGTGTTTTGTATGTTTTGTCTCTCAACAAGCTAAGACGACTTCTGAATTTTCAAGCCATTTCTCCTCTGGCTTCCTGACCACAAACACTAACAGTTCTTGTGTTGTTACAACCTTTTGGGTTTGCAGCCTTTGCATTCATTAGATACTCAATTTCTGTGTACTTTTAAATGCAATGATTTTGTGGAATGGGCTGACCTGTCCTGCAGACCCTTTGAACACCCTCATCTGCCTGTTGTCAAGGGTCCAAAGAAGCCTGACTTTCATCTTGAGGCCAACACATCTGTAGGTCAAAGCACAGGTCTGCCAGGAGGCATCTACCCAGGTTCACGACACTGCTGTCCCTCCCAGCCCATGACAATGATGAGGTCGCTGCAGCACACTACCTCCAACACCCCAGGAGAGCTGCTACACAACGTGATCCCTGCTTGAGGTGGGCAAGGGGATGGGAAAGGAGGTTAGTGAGAGACCAACAGAAGAGGAAAAGAATAGGAAAGGCCACAAGGCTCAGATACTTACCTGTGACAGTAGGTTGCTTAGCCCAACAGGTTATGAGAAGACACTGCAGGACTGCTGCTGTACCTAGAGCTGTGTCTTCTCCTCCTGGTAAAACAACTTGAGTCCCTGAAGGCTTCTCCAAGCTATGTTTCAGAGCTAGAGATGCTCAGCTGGGCATCCAGGGCCTGGGTTTGTCACTTAAAGGGGATTAAAATGGAGCAAAGCCTTTAGAAAAGCTGATCCTCAGCTGTGAACTGTACTTGCTCTTGGTGGTGATATGACTGTGCTGTTTTACAAGAAGCACAAACTTGTTTGCCATGTTCTTAGATTGCTGGGAATGAAAGCCAGCCACCTACTTCATTGCAAAAGCCAGCCCCTAAAAAATAATCAGGCTCGTATTTACAACCAATCGCACTCTAAGAATGATGCTGTTAGAGGGAAATAACCATTGTTGTTCATTTTATTTAGAAGCATGCCCCGTGTACAACCGCACGTCTTACTGAGAGGTGTGTGGGCTGCAGTTGGTAGCGCTCGCTGGAAAACCTCAAAACCCATGGGTGAGACTTCCTTTGTTATGGACCTGTGCGTTTTCTTAATTACCAACTGTAAAATTCATCCAGTTAGAGCAACTCCTAAACTAAGCTAAGCATCAGCCCAGGGGTTTATACCCATTTAGCTGCCATGCCCCCAGTGCTAAAATAATTATGTCTGGAGAGAGAAATGTAGGCTAGTTTCCTCCTTGCAAAAACGAGTGAGGACAACCCCATGAGCTAGGTCTGTAAAGAAGGAGACAAATAGGTCAGAAGTAAGAAACGGGGTGTGCAGTGTGCGATTTCCTGGTCAGCGGTTACTGTAAGAGGAGAGCTGGTGTTACACAAGAGCATTCAGAAGATGCCTCCGTGGGTTTGCGCTCCACCACATGAAGGGCTTTGGTGGTCATAATGAAACAGCTGCTGCCACAAATGACTATATCTGCTTGTAACTGATCGAGACGGTTTCCCCACCTTGCTACACAGGGCTTGTTGAACTGGCTCTCAGTGACCCACGGGGTTTCTGTGTTGATCTCTTGTGCCAAGTAACAAGAGACAGAACAAGAAGAAATGGCCTCAAGTTGCACCAGGGGAGGTTTAAGTGGGATATTAGGACAGGTTTCTTCACCCAGAAGGGTTGTCAAGCATTGGAACAGGCTGCCGAGGGCAGTGATGGAGTCTCCACCCCTGAAGGTTTTAAAAGCCGTGTAGATGTGGTGCTCAGGGACATGGGTTTGTGGTGGCCCTGGCACTGCTGGGTTAATGGTTGGACTTGATCTTAAAGATCTTGTCCAACCTAAACGATTCTATGAATCTATGACTTGACAGATTATCACCAAAAGAGTCATTTAGATCCGAAGTCTCATCTTCCCCAGGAGGAAACCCAGGGTCCACTTGCACCAGGTGGATCTAATTTAAAGTGGATTCTGTGCAGTCAAAATTAAATATGAGAATTCCTGCACACAGGTTTACCCTGGTTTAAATGCAGGTGAGAGAGAAAATTGAAGATTAAGACCTCCACCAGGAGAAATCAAAGACAGAGGTTTGAGTATCTGGCTCAGCTCTGGGTGAAAAATGAGTAATATAAAAAAAAAAAGCAACACTGCAGCAATTTGATAAAATAATAAGGAGTCTTGCCAAGCTATGCTGATCGTGTAGCTGAGGGAAAGAAAGGGCAATTCATCCACTGCTAAGTTAGGATGTCTCAGCTCCACAGGCAGTCATGCCCTGGAGGTCTTTATTCTTTGTTTCCTTGATGTAGAAAGTACCTCATCCACCACTTCAAGCCAAACATCTAGTATCTGGCTGCCGAAAGAGTGGTGAGATGAAGCCATCTTTGCATCTTTCCCTGCATTCCCACTCAGCCAACCATCCAGCTGGTGGAGGAGGAGGTTGCTTTTAAGTTTGACATCGTGTCTGGAAGAACATAGGACAGGCTTTTCCCAGCTCAGGTGAACCAGCCTAGATCCCCATCCCAAATTTCATCTGCAGTCCTGCAATGTCATGTCTCTCACCTCCTCTCCCACCACTCTAGAGACCATCCCAGTGGTCTAGAGAACCTGGCTCCATTGCCAGCTCCCTCAGCTCTACCTATGACCTCGCTTTACCACTTTCAGTCTTTTTTTGTATCTTTACATCTATTTAGGCTGCAAGTTCTTTTGCGCTCCCTCTTACTCATATCACTGCACCAGGAAAACTTGATCTGTGCTGAAATCTCTCAGTGCTACTGCAGCACAACCCTTTCCTCTGTTTCTGCTTTCATTTTGACCCACTGTAAACCAACATTCTTTTAAATAATATACAACTTTTATTCAGAGGATAAGTTATTGAATAAATACAGGTAAACTTTTACGCTTTTTTTTGATACTCTAAGCAGGTACAAAGCCATAAATACAGTCATAAATAGAAGATAAAAACAGAAATATAAACTCATTAGTTCTTTTAATGCTCAATGAAAGTGGACTCAATTCTCTCCCAAAATATTTTGGAACAAGTCAGCTGCTGCTCGCCATGGAGCAGCAGTGAAACAAACCTGGAATGCGATGAGAATCAGGCCAAGTGACACTTACATCAGATTTACACCAGTAATACACTAGCAAGAAGGAACGGCAGGAGAAGGAAAAGGGGCCAAGGGGTGAGGAAGGGAGGGAGAAAGTGCAGGAGAATGAATATTTTGTGGTAGTGATAGCTGGCACGTAAACATTAGGGCAATTTACTGCCAAATTTTGAAATTGTAATTCCTTTGATTAACCAAACTGATACAAGGAGCAATGAAAAAAAACTCAGGAAAAAAAAAAAGTATTGCTTTACCTCCTGCCTGCTTGGAAACACAAATCAAACTTTTCCTCCATCCCCCTCTCTCCCCTCCATCACCAGCTCCCAGTGACTTCCATTCAGAAGTGACCAACAGCAAGAGTCAGTACTTTCAAGGAGGCAATTTGCTCAGATTTGGGAAAGAAGTGTTGTATTCCAGGGGTGCAAGGCAAGCATCTCCCCCATGAGATGTTGGAAGGAGACATTTTTTTTTCTTCCTGCTGTTGTTTCTCCCACCAACCCCTCCTAGGACTGGTGGTGGACAATCGGAACGGCACACGTGCAGCCCACAGTGATGACTTTCTTCTCCAGGCGGTAGGTGGGCAGGCAGCCCTTCGTCTGCTGCCGCAGGACAAGGATCTCCTGTTGGATGGGGACCGAGTTGAGGCTGTGGTCCTCCTGCCCCAGGGGGTTCACACAGCTGGAGAGGCGGCACTTGGCATCAGCAATCACCTGGGGGAAGCGGTTGGGGTCCTCGTCAAGCCTGGAGGCACAAAAGGGGTTTATGCGCTCGCACAACATGGTTTGGCAGGATTTTCTTGTTTATCTCCATCAAAGCACCACACTATTAACCTGGGTATCCCCACTGTGAGACACAGCCAAAGAATTTCCCTACTCTCAACATTTTTAGAATGATTGCCTGGAAATGGAATCAGTTTGGGGAGGGGAATACTGCCATATCATTCTTTAAAAGTTGATGAATGGAATGGAGCTGGGTGAAATACAGAATTGGTTGCAGGTGGACAATTTATTTCTATTTGGTTTTGATAATAAAAATTCTTTTAGTTAGAAAAATATGAAATTACAATGTACTCAACATCTTTCTTTTCCTATATTTCATTTCATCATCATTTCAACCCAATGCAACGCTGCAGCTTTGGGGAAGAATGGCTGGAAAGTTGCCTGGTAGGCCCGGGTGGTGTGGGTGGACGCCTGGCTGACCACGAGCCAGCAGGGTGCCCAGGTGGCCAAGAAGGTCAACGGCATCCTGGCCTGAATCAGCACTAGTGTGGCCAGCAGGACTAGGGCAGGGATTGACCCCCTAGACTCAGCACCTTGAGCCCTCTGTTCAGTTTTGGGCCTCTCCCAACAAGAAAGACCTTGAGCTGTTGGAGAAAAAGGCAACAAAGCTGAAGAAATGTCCAGAGAACAAGTGTGATGAGGAGAAGCTGAGGAAACTGGAGTTGTTCAGTCTGGAGAAAGGGATGATCAGGAGATACATTCTCACTCTCTACAACTCCCTGACAGGAGGGTGTAACGAAGTGAGGTCAGTCTCTTCTCCCAAGTAGCAAGTGATAGAACAAGAGGAAATGGCCTCAAGAGGCACCAGGAGAGGTTTAAATTAGATATAAGGAAAAACTTTCTCATGGAAAGGGTTGTCAAGCATTGGAACAGGCTGCTCAGGGCAGTGGTGGAGTCACCGTCCCTGGAGATATTTAAAAGCCATGGAGATGTGGTGCTCGGGGCCATGGGTTAGTGGTGACCCTGGTAGTGCTAGGGTAACTGTTGGATTTGATGATCCTAAAGGTCTTTTCTAATCTCAAAGATTCCATATTTCTATGATTGACAATGATTGACAAGTTGATTAGAAAGCATTCCAACGATGTCCCTTTGCACTGCAAACAGTTTCTCTTGGAGAAATCTCACCCAACATCAAAATGTAAGTGTGTGTCAGGAAGTGTTTGTACTATTCACAGGACTCCAGGCATATGTTGAGAACCAGCCATTGTTCACAACAAAAAAACACCTGTGTAGCTCAGCCACTGCAATTTAAATGACAACTAAACTATTACCTGTAATCCCAAGGAGCGAGAGACCGGTTCCTGACATCATGGACCATTCTAAAGGCATGATCTGGATTGCTGATACGAATGTCAACTTTCACTGTTGTAGGGAACTTGAGATCCTTTCGGTTCAGGCAATCTTCCCTAAACCTCACGGAGCCACCATGCTTAAAATATTGAGGATTAAGAACCCTTCCATGTGGTGAGCTCCTTACAGTGAGTGCTAGAACCAGGACGAACAGCAGTGACCTGAACTGGGAGAGAAAAAAAGGTGTTCTTAGCTCTGTTCAGCCAAGAAAGAGAGAACACAAAGAGCAAAGTCTTAACTAGACTGGACCATCAATGGACCGTCTTCGTATTTGTATTTGGGTGAGACTGGCCAGCACGAGCAAATAGCCCAACGGTGCTGATAATACTCATCCAAATGCACTTTAAGCTCCAAATCAAATTCTGATTCATAGTTGGCTCTATACTAAGAAGAATGTCTCTCCAACAAGCTGTGAAAGGTCCTTCTCTGCAGTCAAACATTAATGTTTTATGATTTACAAGATACGGTAAGGACTCAGATGACCCCATGCCTAAGCTTAGAAACCTAGTAAGCCATATGCTTTTTCAGGGCGGGAGAGGTTGGCCATCTGCTAGAAATAACCTTTTATCTTGATGAAATCTGAGATTCTTGGGCCATTTCCAGGAACTTGGGTTTTAGGAAAAGAAGACAGATAAATGCAAATCTTTTAAGAAGATCACAAGAGTTGATAGCGCTGCAAATACTGCCCGGGTTTGAAAGTTAACTGCACAGACATTCACTTCACAGTGAAACTTCGTTGATTTTGGTAGCATGTGGTCTGAGAAAAAGACTGTCTCCCCCAAGTCCACAACCGCAATGCTGTCCTTACAGATAAATACTGGATGGTCCATTGCCTCCTTGTTACTCAGGCACCAAACCTATTTGCCAAAGCTCAGGACAGAAAGCTGTATCATACTCAGCACCCCAGTCAACTCCAGCTAAGACCAAAAGGGTTGCTTGTAGATAACAGCATCATGGGATCTGAATTCTACTTTTTCTCTTGCAGCAAATAGATCTTAACACTTAAGCCAAATGTAGTGACTTACCTCTGCAGCGTAGCTGGCAAAAGCCATGGCAACCTCTCTGCCGCTTTAGGTGGATGCACACGGTGACAGTGCACAAGAGTTCTCCTTCTCCGAGTCCTCTTCCACCCTGTGAGTGTCTCAAAGCCAGTTGTGGTCTCCTTTTTATAGTGAAGCTCAACCACTACCATCCTTTCCATTGCACGTAGCTGGCTTACCTGACCCGAGGTTAGGAGCTGATATTTCATCTTCTAGCCCACTTCCTTCCGTCTTCCTCCAGAAAGGGGAGGGTAGATACTATGTCATCAGAATCCCAAATCAGCCAATTCACTTTATTCAGGCAAAGAAAAGATAAGGAAAGAAAAGGAGAGAAAAAATTGTTCAGGCAGCTTTTTTACTTTTCCCCCTGCCACCCCCTCTTTGTAATATTAATGCTCTCTCACCACAAACATATCTGTTGATGCATTTCCACATGCCTCACACAAACCAATCAGCAGAGATCAGCAAACTGCAAAGTCAGGCACCCAACGAGGGTTTCAAAATGAGGGCAGGACACGGAAGGTCACTGTTTAACCTCCTTTTACTCTAAGTGCACACACACACATATGCCACACATATATAACAGACATATATATGCAGAAGTCCATCATATACACAAGGTGGATCTCTTGCCTCAGATCACATCTCCAGTAGCTGCCCCTGGACTCCCCAGGTTCCCCACTGCTTCATGCATAGACACAAATACACACCAGTGAGTCTCCACAGCAGCTGCTCCAGACTTAGGACCTTACCAGTAGCCTACTCCCAGGTCCCACCATCTCTCCAGCAGCTGCCCTAGACCTCCTAGTATCCTCAGCAGTCAATTTGCATAATCTCTGGTCTCTCCAGTATCCTGTCCAGACTTATGGCTGCTGAAATACCTGGAGATAGTTCAGCTTGATTCCCACGCTTCATATACATGCACACACACCAGACTCCCAGTTGCTGACCCTTAGACTCTGCAGTGCTTGAATTTAGGAAAGATACTGAAATTACACTACCAAAAAAAAAAAGATTGAAAAAGCTAAATGATTTAATAAGAAGACAGGGCACACTGGGGTGATCAGGCACAGAACTCAGCCAGACAAGCACACTAACCACAACCCCACTTACGTGGGATCAGCCCATATGATCCTCTCATTTTCTTCATGATCCACCCTGATCCTTTCCCAAACTTCACTCCTTCCCTTAAACATCCTATAATAAGTCTCACATAATCCCAAAATGCTTTTCCCAGTGCACCATAATGAGCCCCATATCCCTGTAGTCAGCAAAGTGATGTGGGGGAAATTTCCCCCGTTGACTTTTTTGATGGGTCTCACATCTGGCTGTGGGTTGACCACCACCCTTGGACAGCCCTGAGAGAGCCTGGTCAGAGGCTTCATTGGCTCTACATTACTTGGGTTCCTCCACCTGATACTGCTCTTCTGCTCCCTTGTGTTTGTAGAAAATGATGGCTCTTAATCATGCAAGCAGCAATCCCCATTCTATAATTAGAGGGCAGAGCCATGAAGCCAAGCTGGACGAGGACTGAAGCATGGGACTCTTCCAAAGAACTCATCTGCAGTCCTCCAGAAAATCAACAGATTCATGGCATTTTCATATGAGGAGGGACTAATCTGGTCCCTGCTCTATCACCTCTCTTGAATAACACCAGCAGAAATCTCCATCTACTGATGTTTTATGTCACTGCAGGATGTTGTCATGATTTTGTGGCCCGATTCAAAGCAAAATTCAGAGACCAGAAACTCATCTCACATAAATTTTTCATATTTAAG